TGGCCTCGATTTCTTCCTAAATGGGCCATATAGATTGAGCTTTTTTTTTTTTTTTAACAGCCTTTGTATGTCCGGGGAGACGGTCCCCTTCTCACTGTCTGACACGGTCCATCGGCTTACGGTCACCAATGAGTCATCCATCACATACATGATTGTTTTTATTTGGTTCTGTTTAGGCTTAGATTTTATCATCATTTATTTTGAAATAATAATGAGGGGGAAAAGAATGAAAAATAATATGAATGTTTATGCAAATGCCTCATTGTATTGATGAAAACAAGATATTTACAAAGCCCTTTTAATCAAAGATCTCGCGGCCACGAGCGGGGACCACGAGAGATGCAGGAAGCTTAAAAATATGAAGAGCCCTAATCAGCTGGCCTTCTCTTATCCCACCCTACTATTCTGGTTGTGATAGAGGCTTGATATCCATGTTAGGAGTGGCAGAGTCGAAAGTGAGCCACCCGACATCCAACAACTCTTGGACCTTGTATTTCAAGGCCCAACAATCTTCCACAAAATGCCCAGGAGCGCCTGAGTGGTAAGCGCATTTTTCATTAGGCTTATACCACTCAGGGTAGGGTGGATCAATCTTCCTTGGAGGGATGCATGCTAGGAGCTCAGTCTCTAACAGCTTCGACAACAAACTCTCATAGGAGGTTGGAATGGGGGTGAACTCCTTTCTTTGCTTTCGTGGCTGCTAGCTTGTTACGCAGAGGTAGAAGGAGTAGTAAGGTTGATGGCATTCACGCTTCTCTCCTCCTTCTTGCTAAGAAACTTCTTGAATGATGCATTAGGAGCGGGAGGTTGAGTGATCCTTTCGCTCTTTAGTCCTTACTCCACCCTTTCGCCCATGTGGTCGATGATGGTGCCTTTATGGTGGATATGTTGATGACACATTAGTTCCATTAACCGCATCATCTGCTCCTTCATGTAATTAAGCTCAGCGATGAGCTTGCAGTTCTGTTCTTCTATGTGCTCCATTAACCGAGCCATTTTCTCCTTTATGGCGTTAAGCTCAACAGTGAGTTTGCGATTTTTCTCTTCTAATTGTTCCATCCTCTTGGCTTTCCGCGCGCAAGTGAGGACAGGAAGAAGACCAACCACTTTCTAGAGTGCATAATGAATTAGAGTTTTTATTAAAAATGAATGATTGGTGTGGGATAGATATGCCTTAAGACAATGGCTTTGGTATCATCCTTAAAGCTTACGCTTTGCGGAGTGTCATACCCACTTCGGTAGAATGGTTCCTTCCTCATAAAGGTCACCATATACCTTAACACACTTGTCTCTTCCTTATGGAAGATTACAAGTGCACTTGGGCCTCTTTTGCCTTTGTCTTAGGGATATCTAATGCCCCCTAGAATAAATGTATTTATGCATGTGCTAGTACAAAAAGGCAGTAGATGTTCAAAGTGATATAACTTTTGATTGAGACGTCGGATTTGGACACACAACATATCAAAACGAAGAGAAAAAGGTGAAGAACAGGCCGCAACAATTTTCCCAAAAAATGCTCCTAAGACCCATTTTTTAGGGATTTATTAAGATGATGCGTATGCATACTTTTCTTATACATTTATTTTCTCTCTTGGTTTTTCCACTTATGACATGATGCGATATGAATGTTTTGAGTTTGTCAAAAATCATTTTATTCATTATTATTTTTTATTTGGTTTACTTTACAACCTTTTATCTCTTCTGTCGGACTACGTGGCTACTTAGCTTACAAATAACTTGAAACCAGGCTAGCTAAAAGGCAGACTGTCCGAGATAAAAATGGTTATTGCGAAAGAATAGTTTTAGCATCCCTTATCTCTTCTGTCAGACTGTGTGGCTGCTTAGCTTACAAAGAACCTGAAACTAGGCTAGCTAAAAGGCAGACTGTCCGAGATAAGGGTGTTTATTGCGAAAAGATTTTTGAGATTTTGTTTCATATTTTTTTTGTTTTTTTGTTGTTGTTGTTGTATGATTATGTTATGCAACAATTAAATGAAACAAACAAATGCACAAAAAATTCACTCATCCGCGAACAGAGTGACGTTTAATTACGAGGTAGGGGTTTCCTGTAGAAAAGTGAATTGACAAAAGTAGGTTCTAACTGTTCTTACCAAGGCCAGGCCCCCAAGGTGCTCCCATTATAGGGACCCTTCAATCTCCCAATCTTCGAACCATGCACGAATCTCTGTGTCGATATTCTTAGACTAGAAGAAGAAGGTTATAACCTTGAGTGGTGATTTTTGACAACGACCTGCTAGCACTAAGGCCATTACCATGGTCGATCGTACCTACCACCCACTCCCTATGTGTATTCTCTCTTGCCCCCGGGTATAGAGGGACTATTGTGTGCAAGGGTTTGTGTACAGTTTATTTTAGACATTTGCAGAAAATAAGCATAAAATAATTATTAAAGCCAAATAATAAAGCATGTTAAGAAAGGGTAAAAGTGTAATTTCTCATTTTTATTTCTTAAACTAGTCCATCACTAAATGGGATCAACTCTCTAACTTCTCCAGTGGAGTCGCCATCTATCGCCGCCGTCAAAATAGGCGGTCGGAGCGACGTGATGGTTTTGTTTTGACTCGCGTTTTTTTTAGATGGTCAACATTCTTAAGATGCCTGATAACCAGACTGTTCTTAAGAATGAGGTTTTTGAAAAGGTTCGATGGAGTCGCCACCGATGTTTTTACCGTAAACATCAGAAAAGGAAGAAAAGAAGGCATTAATTTAGAAAAATCAACTTTTACCATTACAACCAGAGTCGGGTAAGGGAGTTAGTTACGTGTGAGGAAGGTGTTAGCACCCCACAACGCCCCTTTTGGGTTCCTTATGATGGACTAGTTCATAAAATAAAGACTGAAAGAAACTATGCTTTTACCCTATTTATCTACTGGCAGAATTTAAATGTTTACATGATCCTAATATCTAATGCATACAAGGAGAGCAGAAAGCAGTAAAAGAGAAGAGATATGAAGAAGAACCTCCGAAGCGAGCTTTTATAAATGTTGAACTTGAGGACGCTTTTTGGCAGTCCCCGCACTCTACAGAGACACTCCTCCCTCGATCAAAAAATAAAAGTATCACCCTACCAAGGGCCGGATGTCTCCAAAAAGGAGACCTCCTTAACCGACTTCTACTTTAAAAGGAAGTCGAAAAGCTCACTTGAACTCTGGAAAAATGCCCAGAGTCACTCTAAAGTGCCGAAAGGCTTCCTAGAGAGTGGTAGGAGTGGAGAGGTGTGTGGAAAAGTGAGAAATGAGGGCCTATTTATAGGGAACCGCGCCAGGAAAAGGTGGACAGCCGTCTGGACTTAGTGGACTGTCGTCCATGGTAAAAAGTGGCCATGGACGGCCGTCCATGTAGTGTGGACGGTCGTCCATGGCCAAAAGTTGCCATGGACGAACGTCCAAGCTAAGTGGACGGTCGTCCATAGCCATACAGTTGGCATGGACAGCCGTCTGACTGTCCTGGATGGCCATTTGCTGTCTTTGGTGGATTTTCCAATTTTTATTGCCTCTAAAAACCCTTCCTATCTTAAATGGATCCTAGAAAAAGCTACTAGGGACTTAATAAAGTCTTGACCATCTTGGAAATGGGTTATCTTCGGCTTTATTGGAGAGCCGGGCAAGATTTGGGGTCTACATGCATGAATTGACACAACTTGTTTACTTTGTAAGCAATATCTAGTCTAGTGATTGTAAGGTATTGAAGAGAGCCAATTACTGACCTATAATGACTAGGATCATGACAAACTTGAGTACTATCATTTGTAAGTTTCAAAGAAGGGGCCATTGGAGTTTTAATTGACTTGGTCGTATACATGTTCAGTTTATCAAGTATATCTGTAAGATACTTGGTTTGAGAAAGATGAATACCGTCTGCATTATCAGGATTAACTTCGATGCCTAGAAAGTGATGAAGCTTGCCAAGATCTTTAAGAGGAAAGAATTGATGAAGAGTCTGGATCAAATTTTGTATGGCGAGAGATGAATTGCTAGTGATGATGATATCGTCAACATATATGAGAATGTATATGACAGTGGTGCTGGAGGTAGAGATGAATAAAGAGTGGTCTGATCGAGCTTGAGTAAAACCCAACCGGAGTAAAGTGACAGTCAGTTTTTGAAACCAAGCTCGAGGAGCATGTTTGAGACCAAAAATGGCTTTACACAATTTGCAAACAAGATCTGAATTCCCTTGGTGGAATCCTTGTGGCTGCTCCATGTATATCTCTTCTTTTAGATCACCATTAAGAAAAGCATTGTGCACATCTATTTGGTGGATTGGCCATTCTTTAGAGACAACAAGAGCAAGAACCACACGAATGCTGACAGGTTTGATGACAGGACTGAAGGTATTTGTATAATCCAGCCCCTGTTGATTAAAACCTCTTGCGACTAATCTAGCTTTATGTTTGAGGATGGAGCCATCTGGTTTGTATTTATTCTTGAAAATCCATTTGCACGTTATTCCTTTTCTGCCTGGAGGTAAAACAACTAAATCCCAGGTATGATTCTTCATTAGAGCATTGTACTCATCTTGCATAGCTTGTTTCTGTTAGAATCGCGCAGCGGAATGATCGCGTGGTCGGACAAAAACCAAGAGGGGGGGTGAATTGGTTTCTTAATAAAAATTAGGTTTTCAAAATTTTCCCCAAATTTTACCGATTAAAAACTGTGTAAATGTAAATAGAGAAGAGAAGAGAATCTTACACAGGAGATTTATACTGGTTCAGATCAAAAGACCCTACATGCTAGTC